CTGGCCGCGTAGATCTCCTGATTGGTGGCCACGTCCTTCTCAGTGAGGGCAGGTCCTTGTAAATACCACATGTACCATGACCGTCGGCATCGGGCGACCGTGGTTAGATGCTTTACTAGCTTGGCAAAGGAGTGGAAGTTCTGGCGGCATATTCTGCACGATGTACCCGATGCCCAGTTTCGCGGATGATCAAGTCGTCGGTGTTCCCGCCCGATATGTATTGCCATGCCCTGCTTGGTCTTAGTTACTATTCCGCACTCGTAGCAAATGAAGTTGCTGTCGCCGTTGTCACGTGATGGCGTGGTGCCCGCCCCGATGAGGCCGTCGGGTCTTAGCACCTTGGTCAGCTTGTCGGCGTGGGCGCGGTCTTTAGAGGCGCGGATGTAGTTTGTGACGGCCCTGTTGACGGAGTTGGTGAAGTGCTTCGGCGTGGTGCGAGCCCATGCAAAGATGTCGGGGTCGAGCTTGCTGGTCGTGGGCCAGCGCTGGTCGTCCAGGTATGTGCGCAGGAAGTCGAAGTCCTGGAAAAGCATGTATGTCCATGAGCCCTTTCTCCGTCGCTGGCTGTCAAGCAGTTGTAGGAGCTGCTGAGGAGCGTGTCGTAGAAGCCGTGGTAAGTATCGCAGCCGTCCAGCAGACTGGTGGTGGTCGAAGTCGGGGATGCCGGTGTAGGCTACTACTTCGGTGGCCGTGAAATGATGAAGCTGCGAGTTAGCTTTGGGTAGTCCAGCTGCCGTGCGATAGGGCTTCGAGTAGGCGTTGGATATGCGCTGGTGGTCGGTCTTAGTCAGTGCTGGCCAGATGTGATGGTTGAAGGTCAATGAGGCCGTCGAGAGGGCGTGCACGTACTTGATCTTCGTTTTGCGGGGTAGGCGTCGACGTCTTAGGATTTGCCTTTCCAGAGCTCGTGCCGAAGCGTCGGTTCGTTGCATGCGATTCTGCACCTCGGGGCCCATGCTGCCGTTGGTTAGGATGGTGCCTAAGAGTCGGTGCTGGTCTGTGATTTGGACCGAGATCGACATGATGCTCAGCTTGATTGATGTAATGTTCTGCTGTGCGATCCTGCTGCGCACGACGTTGGAGCCCGCCCCGTTAAAGGAGATGATGACCTTGGTCTTATCTGGGTGTGGCTTGAGCCCGTAGGTAAAGGCTATGCGGCATAGACGTTCAGCTGAAGTTCTCGTAATGTCAATGATGTCGGAGTGGTGTGTGGTCGAGTTGAAGTCGGTGAGGTCGTCGACGAAGGACATGTTGGTCAGCTTGCCGCCTTGATGAGGGGCCGTAGAGAAGAGCGGGTTGTCGCAGGGGCTGATGTGGTGGCCGCTTTCGCCGTCTTCTGCCCCTTCAGCGTCGTCGGCGATGGCCTGAAGCACCAGGGAGAAATGCATGTTGAAAGCCGCGTCGGAGTATGGCACCCCTGGCCTGGTACTGGTGCGTGGGATCACGTATGCGTCGGTGCCCTTGGCTGTCATCCAGTTGGCCGTGTGGTGGTCGGCAACGAGGGCGCAGAGGTGGGAGTCGTCGACGTGGGCGTTGAGATGTGCTGGGCAGCGAAGACGTTGTCGTAGGGATGGGAGAAGGCATATGGGAATCTCGATGTTGTCGATGACGTCTTCGAGCTCATCCTCCTGAGTCGGCAGCTGAAAAATGAACTCCTTTATTACCGAATGGAAGGCTTCTTTCAAGTCCAGGAAGAGGATGCTGCCGGTGCGAGCCTGTGTACGGCAGTCGTCCAAGAAGGTGTAGGCGGTGTGAGTGATGAAGTCGGTCGCCTTGTGAGGGACGGCGCCGCATTGTGTGTCCATGAGCAGGTCGGGTAGGATGTCGCGGAAGAGGCCTCTCAGGAACTTGCTGTTGATCTTTCCTATAGTGTTGTTCAGGAGGATGCCCCTGTATGCCTTCTGCAGATGAAGCTGTCCTTGTCCTTTGGAGAAATGGGTGGAGAAACCGCCCTTCGCCGAAATAGGCTCCGTCGTCATCATTTGCATCTTCATCATGATAGGGTGCAGAAGTCGGGCGATCTGTCGCGGCGCTGCTCGTGCCATGTCGTCGGTGTTTCCGTCGGGCCCGCCGCGTTTGCCTTTCTTGGCGGCTGCCAGGGCGGATGTCAGGTTGTGGATGGTCTGGACGTTGTCGATGTGGGGTATCGGCTTGGTGTGGGCAGTCTTGTTGTTATAGTTCTTGACGACGCCTTCGATGTCGGTGTTGATGCCGTTCTCGATGTTGCCGTAGTATCGAAGGGCGTGCTCCGCAATGGCTTGTGGCGTTGTAAGCGGAGCGCCGTCATCGTCTTGTCGTATTTTGGGAGTCGGAGTTCTCTTAGGTGTGCGGCCGCCATATGTGAGTAATGCCCTCACGTTTGCCCACTCCTTCCGCGGGGCGTTCCCTGCGGCTGATAGTATCATGTTGTCGGAGAGGCGCTCGAGGTGGGCGTCGCGGTCATGATCGAGGCGGTTCCTAAGGACTCTGTCGGTATCCTTGATGAAGCTCATGTATGAGTCGAAAAGATTTGTAGTGAAGGTGGTTGTGCAGTAGGTGCTGTCGTGGTATGGAGCCGTAGTCTGGTCGGGGTCCGCGTGGTTGATAAAGAGGATGGTCTTGATCATCAGCTGTGTATATCCAGGGATGTCCATGAGATGGATAACGTCGTCAGGGGTCGCTGAAGCCGACTGGTTTGCGATGAGGTGCGCGGTGTATCGGATCCGTCTGCGTGATATCTTGGAGCCAATGCCATTCCTTTTCACGATGCGGACCGTCTTGAGGAGGGTGCGTCGAAAGCGAAGAAGTGCGTAGGAGGCCTCGGTAATGTAGGGCTTGCGTGGGGC